CCCCCCCCAAAAAAAATAACTAGGGCAACAAATCACATAACTAAAATGAAAGTGAAAACATAAAGTACCATAAACGAATCACAACGATATAACACAAATACCTGACTAGAAAAAAATCAAACATAAAAATGCTAATGATTCAATCAGCATCATTATTGCAGAAAAGGACGAATATCAAACTCTTCGTTAAGACCGTTAGGTGATAATGTGTTCAAAGTATAAATCCAATAGGCTTCACGTCTTAAAAGCAAATTGTTGATATCACCCCCTCTACAAAGTGATTTAACAGCTTCAATGCCAATATATTGTAAACTGAATGTTTAAATCTTTCAAAATGTTGTACTACTGGACTTCTAGGGTCATGCAGCCTAATGGCACTTCGATGTTCGGCAATCTGCATTTTGAGTTGTCTGCTGATTTTTCCCACATAACAGAGTCCACATGAGCAGCGCAGCTTATAAATAACATAAGAGGTCTTACAAGACATCATTAACAATAGTTGGGCACCGTCATTGAGGTTTTTGTTGCCCGACAGATGCACACTTTTTTTAGTTTTTTGCGAACTATTCAATTAAACAAATAAAGAAAGAAACAATCTGTTTATTTCAGAAATGGACGATGAGGATTGTGAAAGGAGAAGGATGGAATGCATAGACGAAATGACTAATCTAGAAAAACAGTTCACTGGCCTCAAAGACCAGTATGTACCGTCCTCTTGTTTGCATTCAATCTGTGCATGAATTCATGTTATTTACAAGTGCATACATTTATTTATTTCTTTTTTACATTGATCACTAAGTGTGCATGCTTTCCTTAGGTTATATAAAGAGAGGCTGAGTCAAGTTGATGCCAAACTTCAGGAAGTGATGTCAGGAAAGGCACCAGAGTACCTGGAACCCCTTGCAGATCTTCAGGAGAACAAGCAAATTAGAACTAAAATTGCAGGTCGGTCTGATGTCCAAACTGAACATGGGATTATTGTTCTTTGAAACTGTGCATTATTAAAACAATACATTCATGCATAGGTATCTACAGAGAATTGTGCTTGGAATCAGTGAAGAATAAATACGACTGTGAAACCCAAGCAGCGTTGCAGCACTGGGAGGTGAGTTTTACTGATATAATCCGCTATTACCTAAACAACGGTGCATGTCTGAAATGTCTTGCTGAGTCATCATAACAGAGCCGTACAGGAGTATTATTATTGTTTGATCTAACAGCGCTAAAAGCCTGCCGGTTACCACATTAAAAGCATGCATCTATTTAAACAAACTTTCAAAATGAAATACAATTCCAATTTGGTTCATTTGATCTCTTCTAGAGTGAAAAACTGTTATTATTTGATACGGTTCAAAGTGAACTAGAGGAGAAGATCAGACGTTTGGAGGAAGACCGTCACAGCATAGATATTACCTCAGGTATTGGAATTGTGAATACGGTCACAAATAATATCGTTTTTTTTGTGTGTTATTTATACAATCTTTGTCATATTTCTCCTACAGAGCTCTGGAACGATGAGTTACAATCAAGAAAAAATAAGAAGAAAGATCCCTTCAGTCCAGACAAAAAGAAAAAGCCTGTCGTTGTGTCAGATATCCTTTACTACAACCAGTTGTACACACCTATAATCAATCTATCCAGAATTTGCTGGATCACTTGTGAGTTTCTTAACATGTGCACGCCCATATATAGTTTACATGCTGCAAGACCTGGATATACTGGAAGACTGGACTGCTATTAGAAAGGTGAGACTGTCAAAAACAGAACTCTTTTTATATGAAACCATTTTTATTGTGGAGCAAATGATGTATTTTGTTAATATCTTGTAGGCCATGGCAACATTAGGACCTCACAGAGTAAAGACTGATGGTGAGATCATATTTATTACTGTATTTAATTTTCGGTTAAATTATACACTACAGTTTAAAAGTTTAGGGACATAGTAAAAAAAACTGGTGTAGAATTTCCCTTTTACTATAGTGACCTTGAACAAATACGTCTGTTCTTAGTCTGTTTTGCTCTGGGCAACTTCCTGGAGTTTTGGTGCATAGTGACTCCATCTAACTCCTAAGTGGTAACCCATTCACAAATTCCAGTTAAATATAGACACACCATCATGTTTGTATAGTTACAGCAGTAATATTGGCTTATCCTATAGGTGCTTTATTATGTAATGTTTAAGTTGTTTTTTGCTACGTTAGTAACAGTAGAACTTGTATAATTTGTTGTAGTCTCTTCAAAGAGTGACAGACCCCAGCACAATGCCCGCTCAGAGGACGGACGCTTGTTTTATGACGGGGAATGTTACAGCCGTGGACAAGCCATATGTATCGACAAGAAAGACGAGTATCCTACGAGGTGAGGGATCCTGAATTACCAAGCTCATATTGATTATTTTGCAGCACTTTTGAGAGTTATTTTTCTCCCGTCTTCTGTTTCAAACAGCGCGTTAATAACTACAGTCAATCACGATGAAGTCTGGTTTAAGCGAGTCGATGGGAGCAAGTCAAAACTCTACATCTCACAGCTTCAGAAAGGCAAATACACCATAAAACATGCCTGATCTACCTGAGATCTGATTAGATGTCAGGATGGCAGTCTGACATGTTTAATAGTGCCATTTTATGTACAGTATATCATGATTTAAATAGCTTTTTGATGTTTAAAAACAGATACGTTGGTGTATTGTCTGTCATTTGAAATGTGAGGAAAGTTGATGTTATTTCATTGTATATTCAGTGCAATACCATTAGTAAGATTATTGCACCGAACAGGTCAAAAATGTAGTATAATTACTACCATGAAATGTGGGACTTTTGTATTTCGATCACTGGGCTCATTTTCCATTTTAGTTCTGCTCAGTGGTGTTTGAACCCAATTCTAATGAGTAGTGATTTTTAATGCCATGTCTGGCTACCAAATGGTTTCCTACTTTTTTACATTTCTGCCTCATCACTGTGTTCCGATACAAATGATATGCCACAATTTGCATTTGCCATTCTTGGTGGCTTTTTTTTTCTAACAGTGTAATGAAATGGTCTTGCTTGTGCGGCATCTTATACTGTATGAAATAAAGCTATTTGAAGTATTTTTAGGAGTGAAAAAACAAGACGACGTTATCACACCTTTTCAGAGTCTCAGCTCTTCAAACAGCTGTTCTCTGTTCCAGATGTGATCTTGCTGCTCTATTTACAGTCTAAACAAGCCATAAATGTGGTGAATACTTTATATAATTAATTGTAATGTGCATTTCAGTTCTGGTCATTGGTTCAGTGTTGTCATGTGGGGTTATAGCACCACCCTTTGGTTTCATTGTTGTACTGTTCCTGTTGTTTTTTATGCCTTTTTTTCTTGATTTATCCATACCTTTGAAAATTCTGTGCTGAATGTTGTTTTTTTCCAGTTATGAATTTACATTGAACAGACTTTCAAATACAGCATTTTGATATCATAGAGCTTTGTTGTCCTTTATGAGTGACACAATTCCATTAATTAGAATAGAAATATCATGGGTTTTTAAAAAAAATAATAATTTTGTAATGGAAAGTTGTGTTTTAACTTTTAAGCTTTGCAAAACTAATTTAGTTAGTGGAATGACAGTAGTATAATTTACTCATGTTTGCCAGAGAATTAAAAATCGTTCACCCCAAAATGAAAATGTACTCCGGCCATCCACGTTAAAGATGTGTTTGTTCCTTCATCGAAACGGATTTGGAGAAATTCAGCATTACGTCACTTGCTCACCAATGGATCCTCTGCAGTGAATGGGTGCCGTCAGAATGAGAGTCCAAACAGCTGATTAAAAACACCACAACAATCCACAATAAATTAACATTATTTAAAACAAATCATTGATATATCCTGAGTTGTGTTCTCATGCACCACACTGTTTTCTGCTATTTGCTAGTCTTAATATCAATAATCATGATTATACAAACTAGATAGATGTACTTTATTCATCCTGAAGGGAACATTAAATACAATTAGCTTGATGATGCTGTAATTTTAATACAATGCAATCTTTATACTGTGGCAGCATAAAAATAATTTAGTGATGTAGAACATTGAGAAGCAGGAACACATATTTTACAAATGCAGCATTAGAGTAAAAGCCACTCATGACTGCTTTTGGGTAATGTGTTATAATTCTGAATATAAAAATCAGATGCTTGTTATTAATACATTCCCATTAATGTGCATATTATAATTCACTGAGAGAAACACCAGGTTAAAAGGATAGTTCACCCAAAAATGAAAAAATTGGTTACCCACATTCTTCAAACTATCTGCTTTTGTGTGTGCAGCAGAAGAAAGAAATTCAAACAAGTTTGGAACAACTTGGGTGGGTAAATGAAAACAGAATTGTAATTTTTGGATAAACTATCCCTTTAAACAGACCACCAAAGATAACATTCAAGTGTGTAAGTAATAGACGGATACATAGACATGACCATGAAGAACAATAGATTTAGATCTCAAAAACTGCTAAAATGCTTTTTGAGTTATGCACTTTTATGGTCAGAAAACATGCAGCATGTATACATGTGTAAAAGCAAATGTACTGCATTAAAACGGAATTTTGTGTTACAAATATAAATATCCACTGGCATTGACAAAGACTCATGTGCAGCCTTTGTTGTCAGAAAAAAAGGCTACTTCATGAGTATCACAGCAAATATTCTTTAACTGAAGTTGAGATCACAGTTCAATCAAAACACTGTTAAACAGATAAAACCTCATTGATGCCCAAAACAATGGTCTAATCAAATAATAACAGACATGAAAAAAGGAACAAAGGTGTGTTCTAACTCTAATGCTTTTAAAATAAATTAAGGGTACAGGACGAACAATATGTTAGTTATTTGTTATACTAGCCTCTCTGAAGGACAGACCTTCTATAAACAGATGTGGCATTAGTGTACTTGAATATACAATAAACAATTCTCCAGTGTAAATGTCCTCATAAAGCGGAGTCTGCACTATATTTCGGTTTATAAAATCTTTGCAAAAGAAAGAGTGATGCAAGGTCCATACAGTGCTGTCTGTACTGTCACATGATGAGCAGCAGGGCTGGGGTTTCTGAGCCGTCATTCTACCGAGTTGTGAAGCACTCTTGACCATTTTTTCATTCCCGTCCTGCCATTTACACAAGCAGTCCCAGCTGAAACCTCTCTACGGCAAGCCCAATGCAGAGGACAGGTGCAGCAAGCCTCTGACTGTTCACGCAAATTTCTTCTTGGTTGCAGTGAAACGCTCCATGTACTGAAGAAAACAAAGATTAAAGTCACTATATGACAATGCAAGAAAGAAAAAGTGTAAAAAATGTAGATTGGCGTTTCACGTTTAAGGCTATTTATATAACGTATGCTACGGGTCAAACCTTTGGAATATTTAGGATTATTTTCATGTTTTGAAATGTGATCTTGCTCACCAAGGCTGCATTTATTTGATTACAAATACAGCAAAAACAGTAAAATCGTGAAATATTTTCTAAATGTTTTCTATAGTTAAATTCTAAAAATGTAATTTATTCCTGTGATACAAAGCAGTCTTTAGTGTCACATGATCTTTCAGAAATCATTCTAATATGTTGATTTGGTGCTCAAGAAACATTTATTTTTATTATATCAGTGTTGAAAACATTTTTCTGCTTAATATTTTTGTGGAAACTGTGATAGACTACCATATAAAAGATAGTGTTAGCATAAATGATCTGCTCATTTTGGGAAATTAAACCGGTACTTATAACATGATTTTCATAAAACCTTTAATGTGTAAAATCAAACTCTTAAAGCTTTCAATTGATGTCAATGAAAATAAGCAGATTTGATTTTGAACAGAAGATATAAATAGATTTACCTGGTTATAAGATTGAAATTTCACTCATATGCGAGTCAAATAAGAGAGGTCGGATTGAATTTCATATTTGTATAGCCACTTGGCCCTGTTTACACCTGGAAGTAAGATCTGTTTTAGGTAAACTAATAACAGATGGACTAACTAACTAGAGGTTTAAACTGGGTTCAAAATGTTTTGAGATTGAATCGATCAAACTACATTCAGAATCAACAACACACAAAACTACATCACATCAGCAGTGTAAACACTAATTTGTCTTGAAAATTATGCTTCAAACAGTAAAATGTTCTTAGATTAATACAGGATTATATTTGGGGGAAATTATATTTGAGTTTTTTTTTTCTTTTTTTAATCCCAGGTGTAAACATGACTGTCAATTTCTCAATTCAGAGCTAGTATTATCTCTTCCTTTCCCTGCTTCGAGATTTTGGGGGATTTGACTTTGTTTCAAAAACAAATAAATAGACCACTTTTGTTTTACATTCAAACTTAAACTGTGGTATTTTCCATCTTGGAAAAACATGTGATATTTATAGAAGAGGATGAGACACACAAAATTGACTGTTAAAGGGATAGTTCACCCAAACATTTCAATTTGATGTTTATCTGCTTACCCCCAGGGCATCCAAGATGTAGGTGACTTTGTTTCTTCAGTAGAACACAAACGAAGATTTTTAACTCAAACCGTTGCAGTCTGTCAGTCATATAATGGAAGTGAATGGAATCACGGCTTTGAGAGTAACAAAAAAAACATACACAAACAAAACCAAATTAAACCCTGCGGCTCGTGACGCTACAACGATCGGTCCGTGCAAGAAACTGAACAGTATTTATATTGTTTTTTACCTCTGATTCACCGCAATGTCCGAACTGTCCTGAGCGCGTTCACATCATCTTCTTTTTCTTGCTTTACGGCGGCTTGCAGACTTATAAGTGCATTACCGCCACCTATCTCTCAAATGGCCATTGACACTATATCTACAATCTCAATTAGGAGTGTAATGTTATTGTTAATTTGGTTTTGTTTGTGTATGTTTTTTTGACTCTCAAAGCCATGATTCCCATTCACCTCCATTATATGACTGACAGGCTTCAAAGGTTTGAGTTAAAAATCTTCGTTTGTGTTCTACTGAAGAAAAAAAGTCACCTACATCTTGGATGCCCTGGGGTAAGATGGGTGAACTATCCCTTTAATACTGGACATGGAATATAACCTGAAAAACAAAAGTTTTTTTTCTTATGTCTTCTTATAAAAGACATAAGATTTAAAGATATAATAGTAGGCTAAACTGACACAAAATTACCTTATCATATCCTTCTAGGTCACGTAACCTTTTAACTTCAAACAGGTTGCCCTCCACGGACAGCAGGGACACCTGGGAGTCTGAGAGGATGGAGAAGGGGATAGAGGAGAGCTCCAGACAGTTCTCCTCCAGCCGTAAGACCTTCAGTCTGGGAGCATGGGACACCTCTGGAGACACTGTTGAAATCTGAAACAGAACAAACACAGCACAAAAAGTCACCCTGAAACTCCTTTATCATGACATGACATTTCCTAAATGCAACAAACTAAAAAAAAACTCACCTGGTTCTGATTGAGGTTGATTTCAATGGCTTGCAGTTCGGCCACTTCTGCAGGAACCACCTGGATCTTATTCTTGGACAGGTCCAGAACATCGAGCTGGCGAAGGGTGCCGAGTCCAATAGGAAACTCCTTGAAGTGATTCCCAGACAGGGTCAAGGTGCGCAAGGACTTCAGCTGACCCACCGATGAAGGAAGCTGCTTCAACTGGTTCCCATTTAAAATAAGAGTCTCCAGCTTCTTGAGTTTCCCGATGTCATTTGGTAGACTGGCTACACACATAAAACAAAAGATCATACATTAATGAACTGAGTGCTTAAGAGTTCATATCACAGAATATAGGCTCCTCTGCAATAAAATGATTGACTATGTAGATACTACAGTAAGAAATGTTTAATGAGCAGCAAATCAGCATATTAGAATGATTTCTGAAGGATCTGAGGGCTAGAGTAATGCATTAAATTCAGCTTTGCATTAAAAGAATAAATTACATTTGAAATTATATTTAAATAAGAAAGTGTTATTTTAATTGTAATAATATTTCACAATATTACTGTTTTTACTCTATTTTTGATCAAATAATCACAGCCTTGATGAGCAAAGAGAACATTTTTAAAAACATAAAAAATCTTATTTATTCAAAATTTTTGGAATATATATTATTTATTTATTATATATATATATATATATATATATATATATATATATATATATATATATATATATATATTGAAATATATTATAATCTCACATTTTTAATTCTACACACACACACATATACATATATATATATATCTCTCTCTCTCTCTCTCAAGTCTTTTCAATGTTCAGCAGTTCAATGGGGATTACTCATTTCACATGCAAAGATGTTAGCCAATCACAACAGAGGTAATTTACATACAAAAGTCTTAAATGTACAGAAGCAAAATGAGCCTATTTAATTCTAAGGGACAAAAGAGTGAAAAATACCATAAAACTATGTTTTGATTGCAAAAAAAAAAACGATACAAAAAATGTAAATAAAAGGTTAGAATGATAAGTTTGTAAGATGGCCATATTTAGCTATTTGTCAACACTTACTCAGTTTATTGCTGCTTATGGTAAGACTCTTGATTTGCTGGAAGCCTCCTACGAATGCTGGAAGCACCTCAATTTTGTTGTTGGACAGATCAACTGTCCGCAGGTTTCCAGTGAGTTTCTGCAGCTCCTCTGGGAACTACATAACCAAAGACACGTGTGCTGTCAATAATCCATGAGGACATCGCTGCTAAGTGCATTTGTGTGGTGAATATGATTACGACAAGCCTATTAGCACCTCCGTCAAACCCTTTCCGGTCAGCTGAAAGACTCCAGTCTTCTGAGATGTTTCCAAATGAGCTTTGAGCGCACTGTTCCCCATTTACAGGATATGGATGCTGCCGAATTTGATATCAGGAAATCCACTGGAAGACTAAAATAAAGTTAGCTAGACCCTTAAATGAACCAAGGTTATAATAATAATAATTCATTACATTTTTATATAGCGCTTTTCTAGGCACTCAAAGCGCTTTACATTGTCAGGGGGTATCTCCTCATCCACCACCGGTGTGCAGCATCCACCTGGATGATACGACGGCAGCCATAGTGCGCCAGAACGCCCACCACACACCAGCTTATTGGTGGAGAGGAGACAGAGTGATGAAGCCAATAAGCAGATATATTGCATAGTGACCATTATTTAAAGGGATAGTTCACCCAAAAATAAAAATGCGGTTAATTACTCACCCAAGTTGTTCCAAACCCGTATGATTTTCTTTCTTTTGTTGAACACAAAAGAAGATATTTTGAAAAATGCTGGTAACCAAACAGTTGCTGGTAGCTGTTGAAACAACATGAGGGTATAACTATTATTGTCTATGACAGACACTATGTTACGATGGTGAATGTTTGTAGTGGCTGCTCAGTGTGAGTGCCAGAGACCACATCCACGTCCTGACATGTATGTGGTAAAAGATGCAGTTGTTGCTATTTAGTTACTTTATTATATAATGACTACCCACCTTACTTTTCAACGCGGAAGTAAGCCGTATTGTACAACTAAATATAGCTGGAAGCGGATGAGACCGGAAGCCAGACACATTAAATTTACAAATGGCTGCGCTTGCTCTTACGGGGAAAATATGGTGGATACCTTCTCTCTTCTACTGAGGCATTGGTAAACTCTCATTAGAAATGTGTAAAAATTGCAAGTAGGGATAACTGCAAGCTGGAGCAGTGGGCGTGGTGAAAGATTAGGGTGTGCTGGAAGGTAGGGGGCGTGGATAAAAGTCTTTAATTGGTTAGGGTTAGTTTCTGTTGTAGCATTCACCTTTCGGCACGCCACCTTTTGCCACGCCCATTACTCCAACCTGCAACTACCTGTACCTTTAAGGGTTGTCACAGTGACGATTTTATACCTTATTTACCCTGAAATGGTTTATAGTAGTACTTTATAAGATACTAATATGCAGCTTTTATCAGAGGTGTAAAGAGTACCTAAAAACCATACTTGAGTAAAAGTACAGATACCTTACAGGGAAAATTACTCCACTACACGTTGCAAGTCACCAATTCCAAAACAACTTGAGTAAAAGTCTTAGAGTGTCTGATTTTAACAGTACTTAAGTATTTTACTTATACTAAATATAGGCTCAAAGATGCACTAGTCAAAGAGACATGCCAGTGAAAAACTGTAACGTTGTGGAGAAGCTGCGGAAAGCAGGCAGAGGCAAGGATCTATGTGCTGGTATTTCATGGAAAAACTAGAACAAACAATAAGGCAAAAACCAAAGGGAACAAAAAACAGAATGACTGGCAAACAGACAACCATTACATTCAACAACTCACAAGGAACTAAAGGAAAAACTAGGGCTATATATACACACAGGGGGCTAACAAGCTTTACAAGATAAGACACACCTGGGGAGACTAATCAAGGGGAACCAATGAACAAACGGACTACAAACTGACTACAAACACCACGGGAGACAGGAAGTGACATAAAAGTCCAGGGCAAGGCACAGAGAGCATGAAACAAAAACCAGAAGGATTCGATTTGTGAGAACAATCACGTTTATTTTCTAAAACCAAAATAAAACTGAACACCTCAAAATTACAAAACAAACAAACAATATCTTTCAAAAAGGTCTCTTCAGTAGCTATAATGGATAAATAAAATAATGTTAAGTAAAATTAACTTGCAGTGGATGTGCTGGTTTGGGCCTCATTGCCGGCTGCAGTCATGTCCTCATCTCATATATAAAACACCGCTGATTCACAAATACTTGCTAAGGAACAGTTTGGGTGAGTAAGGGCAAAACTCACAAGATGCAGTACTTTCAGTGACCTGTAGCAGACAGTATCACGTCTTTTGTAGCAGAAATAAACTGCTGCAGAAAAAAACTAGGTCCATGCCAAATGTAATGTGTAACTGCAACACTCATTTCAACTGTACTGGAGTAAAGAGTACAGATACTCATTCAAAAATGTAGTGAAGTAAAGAGTAAAAGTTGCTGATATCTTTGATACTCAGTAGCCTACAACTACAAAGTACCCGAAAAGATACTCAAGTACAGTAACTAATTACATTTACTCCAATACTTTACACCTCTGGCTTTTATGCATATAAGATATTAATATGATACTATACTAATATGATAAGATACTAATATGCACTGTTGATAAGGTACAATGTTCCCTTGAGGGCATTTCCCAGTGACAAGCTGTTGTACGCATATTCATAAATTCATACAGTCTGTGTATAATTTGCCATTACTATATTTGATGGAACAGCAGAGGCCATCAAACTAACAGGGAATGTTCTCAGAAAATTCTGTCAAGATTCTCTGAAAGTTATGAATAAACGTTCTTTCAGAACAACCTATTTGGTCTTTAATAATTTTCTCAAAATGTAGCACGAAAACATTTATGCATCATTCATGGAACACTCGTTTTCCTGAAATGTTTTAGTTGGATGCTCGTCTAATGTATTTAAAAAAATGTAAACATTTTTTAAACTTGTTTCAGAATGTTCAGAGAAAATTAAAAAATAACATTCCCATAATGTTAACAAAACCATCAAATGAAATGTTCCCTTAGCGTCCGCATAACCAAAAAAACTTTTACACATTTAGAGAATGTTCAGAAGCATATTTATAACTTAAAGGAAACATTAGCAGAATATTCTTAGAACATATTTTATTGGGCAATGTTTTTTATTGACGTCTTTATTTTGTGTTTTTTTTCACAAAAATCAGTTACTATAGATACTATAGATAACTTTTTAAAAAAATGTAAACATTTTTTAAACTTGTTTCAGAATGTTCAGAGAAAATTCAAAAATAACATTCCCATAATGTTAACAAAACCATCAAATGAAATGTTCCCTTAGCGTCCGCATAACCAAAAAAAACTTTTACACATTTAGAGAATGTTCAGAAGCATATTTATAACTTAAAGGAAACATTAGCAGAATATTCTTAGAACATATTTTATTGGGCAATGTTTTTTATTGACGTCTTTATTTTGTGTTTTTTTTCACAAAAATCAGTTACTATAGATACTATAGATAACTATAAATCAAAAGTTAAGATAACTACATCAAGACATCGGTTTGGTTATGGAGAGTGCACAATAAAGATCAGTAACCGATAAGTGTTATACTTCATAAAATGTATTGTTAACTGGACAAATAAAACTCAAAAAATCAAAACATGTTTAAATATTTTATTAATACTCAATACATAAGTATAATAACTGTCTACTAACTAAATAAATGCAAATATTTAATACAAAAATAATTCTGGAGCTATTTTGTTTGCAAAATAACTTAAAATCAGTTAAAGGTCTCAGCTTCATTGGAACAAATAAATAAGTTCATTCTAACATGGAAACATATAAGTCATTTTAGGAGGTTTTGGCGCACACACACGTACAGCCCACTATGACTCTCTCAAAAGTCGCCCTGAAACACTTCCTGTCCTCCTTATCCTGTTTCAGCACCAGGATGTCCTGATAAATAGGCAAAGAGTTCAGTCTCGTATCCATGCCACTGGGAAAGGTGCAATATTCTGAATTGCACTGGGCTTCAAAGATGACCTGTGGTATTCTGTGTGGTGAAATCTTTGGTCTGAAAGTAAAGAAAACAAGAAGCTTATTCCTCTGAGACAAAACCCACAGAACTAACCAAGACCTGCTTTACTTGATGTTTCACACTGACGTCACATGGCCTGCTGTATCTTAAAAATGCTTCCATAGTAGCCATGACAGCTAGCTTAATGTTAACCTCCCAAACATAGCAATACATCTGATTCCTGATACGTCATCAAACTTTGTGTTAGTCATGAATTGAAGATTATTTTCATTGACATTAAGCACTAAGCAGAAATCAACATCATTCTACCTCTGTAACTCCAAATCTTCATACGTTTTGATTAACTTCAGAGATTGGTGAATGTATCATTTGTTTCTGTGTCTTTGCAACTCACATCCAGGTCCATGCAGATAGTGAGCGGTTGTGGATGTTGCCATTTCCCTCCGCATCTGTATCCGGAGAGGCAGAAAAGTCACTGGAAATCATCAAACTAGTGTCACATAGTCTTTTCTGCCCTTGTTTTGCAAATGTGAGGTTCGCCAGTGCACAGCCCAGCAAAACCTGAAAGAAAGATCATAATCTTTTATTATATTTCACTAAAATCAAACCATTTCTGAGCGGACGTGTCTTTTCGTCACAACATATTACATTTAAACTTAATCTAAAAAGTTTACTCTTTAGGAAAGCAAGCAAATAGTGTCAGCATACCTATTAGCATCGCTAACAGAGTTAACTTTGAACGTTTCGGTCTTCTCACCATGTATTTAGCGTTGAAGAAGCTCAGAAACATCTTTAATGCCCTCTGCTTATTCTCTTGCAGTGTGAAAATGTTTCTCGTTCACCTCATCTATTTATGCAATGCTTTATCGTGATTGCATAGATAATATGGCCTACCTCTGACCTGGATTCCCTCATCAGATCAATTGATAGGTGATTGGCGCTATGTTTAGACCTACATTTTTCCTCTCATTGCCAGTAATCTGATTTACGGATTAAAGATCAGTCTATGTTGGCATTGTTGCAGATCCATTTGACCGAATTTTGATTGGATAAAAAAAAGATGAATCATAATAATCAGGCTCTTTGGGTGAGTTATCAAGATTTTGTATCCTGTTCAATCTTTTAGTCACATTTCGAAAACTCTATTTGGTCGTGTCTTGTCTGATTAGGTTTTGCGCATGGAGAATCATTTAGAAACTTTTATTAAACACACCTTGCATTAATTTCATGCCAGTTTAATATGTTGAAAAACTATTTTCAATAAGAAACTGCTAGTAAATGTCACAACTAAATACTAAGAAGTTAATACGCTGAATACAGTAACACAACACACTATATATAGCGGGAAATTGAGCATGAAGTAGAAAGACTGAAATAGTATTTTCTTGTAAAAAGTACAATAGTTTGTTTTATTTACAACTTTTAATTTATTTATTTATTTTTAACAGTGACACTCTTGCAAGATAATCTTAAATGAAGAATTAATGTTTTTATTTGTGAGAATTTTCATTCAACATGGTCATGGTATAATGTGTGGTATAATTTAATGAATAGCAACTGGTCTTCATTGTGTTGATGAAGGCTACAGTCATCCTAATGTGCCAAATAAATGTATATATTTTCCTATTAAAAATGAACATGCATTTCCTGCTTTCTAACTTATTGACAAAGCACAAAAGACCAGTATATAT